TCGTGACCTAGCCAAACAGGAAAACATCAAAGATGTTTGGGAATGGTCAATGGTTCTGGAAATTCTGGAAGACTCAGTTGAAACGAGTAGATTCTCCTAATCAAACCACAAAAACTACACACTTAAATCTCAGATATTGGTTTGAGAAGGCTGCACAAAAGCTTTGATGCGTTGTTTCCACCTTGCCATCAACTTTGACTTCTTGTGGCATAGCGCCGCCAGGGCTGTCCTAGTAAAACGAATACGGGGCAAGACTGACAATCAGTTTCAATAACAAAATCTGAATCCTGATACGACAGGTGACACGCAGAACCTGGTGACATCAAACAAGTGGTCGGTTCAAAAGAATGAAGTTATCTATATGCCAAAACATCAATCACACCTTGTGAGCATAATCGAGAGAGTCCGCAGGCGCCGTAGGACATTCATCATCCATTGCCTCCACAGCGGCTACAAGCAAAACATACCATGTGTTTGAGACATGGCAGGGTTCAGGAAAACATGTACAGAGACATTACTGACATTAAAGACAAACCGCCTTTGGTTCAATCTCAACAATCACAAGACACACCGCTGACAGTGACAGCACCTAGTTCCAAACATAACCTCGCCTTGGCCTTGACATGTGTATTGCCACCATCTGTGTTGTTCGTCACAACGAAGGTGATGAAATCTCTCAAGTCCTCGCCTGGGTCGCCTTCATCATTCCCAAATACCCAGTCGTCATCAACCATGGTTACTGTTCTGGTGTGGTGCACGTAACGTTCAAACAAAGGATGTGATTGAGCACGGGAAAGTTCGTGGTCAAACTGGAACCTTTCATCACCCATGATGTCATCAATCGTGTCGACACTCGTGATCTTGGTGTAATCAACGCCCGTGTCAGTAAAGAGCGCACCAGTATGATGAACAGCATCGCCAGCTTGCACAGGTTGAACTTGACCAGGGGTCGTGGTGTCAGTGTTGCCCGGCTGGCCCGGCTCACGTTTGACTGTGAGGTCAGACATCATGAGACTGCATAGCGAAATGCCTGTTTGCAAATGGGCGACCCTTTGTGCAAATGCTGGGTTCTCACCAAGCGACAACTGATTCTCCAATGCTGATATTGCAAGCTGTTGTTGCTCCATCAAGTCATCAATATGCTGCTTGGAGTTAGATAGCTGATCTGGAAGCGAAGAAAGAGCCTTGCCGATCTATTCAAAACAGTTTCCATCAAAGCGGGTTGTAGTTAGTTGTACTCAAAAAAACTTGAAACAAAGATGATCTGCTTTGCAGACAAGGAGCAAACAAATCACACCCTTCGAAGTCGCCCTCTGGAAATAAAGAGCAGTTGGTCCATTCCATGATTCCGTTGTTGGCCTGAAAAGTCAAATAGCCAGGTGGAATGGTGATTCCCTGCCCCTTCTTCAAGTAGACAAAGAAGCCACCCTCCTCATTCTCCAATGTTGTACGGTGCTTGCTCCCCAAGCTGGTTGACACATCCACAATAGTCTTGTTTCCTTTTGTTATGTTTGCCGTAAAGGACTTCATAGGTAGGCCTGCAACAAAGTGTTGATCTCCATCAAGCACCATGATGACTTTGCCAAACATAAAGTCAGCGAAAGTAGTACACTGCCAATTCGCGCCAGTTGTTGAAACTTTGGGCGCAAGCAGGACGGAGAGGTTAGCTTCCTTCAACTTCTCATCCGACGAATCATGGAGCATTATACTTCCTTTGACAAACTCGTGAAGCCACTTGTGCACGTCTGAGTCTGGTTCATCTTCAAAGCATGTCAAAGGGTGAACATGCCCTTTGCTGATAAAGTTGGCTGCACCATCCGGATTCTTCTGTCTCATTTTTTTGCACTCGCTGGGGTCGTAAAGCTTGACATCAATCAAATGTTTGGTCAAGCGGTCAACTGCAAAGTCAAAGACAGTTGGCTCTGTAGCTGAGGGACTTTTGATATCCCGCACGTGTTTGCTCAGCGGGGACGTCAGTAGCTCGTCTGCAGTTGAAACAAGTGGCCACACATCCTCATCATTTTCCTCCTCCCCATTCTGTTCTGCTGTCTCCTGTCCACCTTCTTGATCAGCCAACGCCTTGCCAGCTGCCTTTGCTTTTGCAAGCTCCTGCTTGCGCTTCTTCTCTTCTTTCTCACGCAACTGCTCTAGACGCACTTTCTTTGCCCGCTCTCTCTCCTCCTCCAACTTTGCTTTTGTCACATATTGGTTGCACGACTTGATGGCCTTGTTCAAAGACGATTCAAGGCTGCTCATTGATTTGTCATATTCCGACAAACTCTTCTTGGTA